TATTGTTATTAAATAATTGAAAATTGGCATTTAATGGGTACTTTTATTTGACTTTAATGAAAGTGTTGTGGTGTTATCCAAATAAACCTGTTCAATGTTGTGTCTTGTAATATGAAAAATAATAAAATGATTGTCAAGAACAATAATTGTATATAATATTTCACTTATTAGTATTTATAAACAAATAGTTTTTGCATGAAAAATGAGGATATCCAAGGAGTTACATAACGAAATAAATAATAATTGTTTTTATTTGGTTTTTCTTTTCAACAGAATATCAAACAGATTACTAAAAAAATTATAATTAATAATTGAAAAAACAATGTTATTAACGGTTGTTATTCAATGTAATTTTTATTTAACAATCAAAGTTATATTAAATATATCATATATGTGTTATTAATTTATTTAATCATTTAATCACGTTGATAACTTTGTTATGTGAATATTTGAAAACACTTTATTTTAAAAGTTAATTGATTTGTATTTTTCTGCTTATCAATAAATTATTTTTGTGTTGCATATCTAAATTTTAAATATTAATATACTAATTTTTATTAAATACAGCTTTTATTGCCAAAAACGTGTGGTATTCACCAAATACATTATTGTTACTACCATATTTATTATATTTTTACAATATATTGTTAATCGTGTTTTTCCTGTTTTTGGATTAAATATGTCGAGTCTGTGAAATACACACATAAATATTATTTACATTTTTAACCTTTTATGTGATACATCGATGTTATTATTCAAACATTCAAAACAACATCAAATATATCAATTGTTGTGTATTGTCTAACCAATGTGTTACACTTTTTTGTTGATGTTTGTTATATATTTGAAGCAAGTTCCGCTCAATAGTTAATACCGTTTGTATATATTTGACGTGATTTAAATATGTTATATCTAAATGTGAATTCGGTCGAGCAAATATTTCACAAGATAATTATTAAAAAATAAAATTGATAAAATCGTGTGGATAATTTAAATTGTAAAAATTAATAAAAATAAATTTGATTTTTTATTCTTTTTCAAATATGGACATGATTAAATCGTAACATTAAATTTTTCTGCTTTTAATTGTTTAATATTTTT